TAGAAATTGGTATTATTATATTGAGCGAATTAAAACATGGTGAGCTAATTAAACGAGGAATTGGTAGGCGAAGATGTTGAGATGACAAAAATTTCAAATTTAGAATCATATGAGTAAGCTGGATAGGGCATTGTTCGCATTACATTATCAGCCAAGTTTTACAAATTCTGATCAAAATGTTATTTTATTTTTAAGTTTTAATATGTTTTTAATATATAAAATTTTTAATATTTTTATATTTTTAATAAATATTTTTTTAACAAATATAATAATACAAAATGTAATATAAAATATTTTGATAAATAAATACAAATAAATAAATAAAATATAATAAATATTTTTAAAGAAAGAAAGATATTTTTAATTTAAATTCATTCATATGAAATGATGCAATCGGTTATCAAAAAAAAGCTCTTTTTTTTACGTTATTTGTTGTTTCAAATCGTTGTTTCAAATCGTTTACACCCCTCTTTTAGCAAATGCTTTTTATAAATGTGAACGAAAATGCGCCTTTTTTTTCATGAATAAAACATCTTCCAATTTTTTCTCTAATTAATAATTCTCTGAACTTTTGAAATTGTATTCACTTCCTTCAAGGAGAGAAACCTAACAAATCGTAATGAATAAGATGATGAAAATTTCCTCCGCACTTTCATTAGATGGATGTATTTTGGAATGAATCATGAAATCATCTCTTAACCTCCTCTTTATTTTATTTGCAAATTTCTAGCTGATTACAATAATAGAAATTGAACAAAAAGTGATTTCGAAATTCTCCTTTGTTTACTTTAATTGCTTCTCCAGGAAAGGAACATATGTTGTTGTCCCATATATTCAAATTCAGTTTTTTGCGTCAAGGAACTTGGTGACATGAAAAAAGAGTCCAACCGTCGATGCAAGTTATTGTAACGTTGTGAAACGAGTCTTATTCAAGAAAATAGAAATTAGTTATGGAAATTATCCGAAAGTATAAAAAGAGAGAAAATTCGCTATGATTTTACTAAGAGTATTTATGAAGTTTTTATTTTACTCGCAGTATTTTCATTTCACTGCAATTAGCCTTTACAAAATTTAACAATTTTTTCAAAATATTCTTGTATTCTTATTCTATTATTATATTCTTGGACTGGTTCTCCTTGACCAAAATTGCATGATAAACCGAGATTACAATGGAAAATATGAAATACTGTGCGTAATGGAAGATGCAAAATGTTGCATGACCAAGCAATTCAACTATTAAAATGGCTATTCAAATTTATATTAAAATTATTCGATTCTAACTAGTCTTGAATTTGTGACTTTACAGATCCTCTAAAAATTCCTCATACAAGAATGTACGATAATCCACCAAATGTATTTTCTCTAATATTTCCCATAATCATTTATGCACTAATATTTACTGTACTTATACTTAGTGTTTTAGCTTATACTTACTGAATACATCCTTGTTATAAATCCATCATATCAATCTAATTCATTTACTGAAGCGTTTTTCTAAAAAAATCGCATATTTTTGTATAAATATTTCTTTATATTTTTCAAATTTTGTGAGGTATTTTTTTCCAAAAAATGCTTTTTGTTTACCTTAGCACAATTTTTCTTTTTATCTCACTAATAGCTTTCCGTTGAGCAACAATTTTGGCTTTACGGTAATTAACATCTTTATATGAATGCATAGAAGCGTTCAAATTGTGGTAATTTCCCCTATTAGTACCAAATGAAAAGATGGGGAAGAAGCATTGTAAGAAATTCATAACATTAAGACTTTTGAAACGCTTAAACGAGTTAAATGAGGATTTTATTGGTGCGAAAGCAAAAATCGAACAGATTTTAAAGGATTATAAGGAGGCATTTTCCTTCATATTTTTTTTCAGTCGGCCTAGTTTTAACAATGAAAGAGGGAAAGAGAGATATTTAAGATATTCATTTTCATTTTTCATTGACATTACTGAAAATTTTTTTTATCAACCATGTTTTGAAAATTTTAAGCAATATATAAATTTAAATTTAAAAAATCCGCGCAAAACAGCCAAATGATCAAACTAAGTATCTAAGCAATCTCGTTAAATCAAAAACATTCAAAATGTTTA